AGGGTAATGACCCCAAAACCGTTGTAAGGCAATTTGATGAGAAAATATATACCAAGTTTGGTTGGTACTAGTAAGTGCTCAATAAATGGCAACTCTCCAAGTGAAAAGCCAGACAATTTCCATTGTATACTTATTAGTTGGGGGGAGGGGGGCACAATTAGCCTCTGAGTACAGAGGTAGCAGTGAGTATTCCAGGAACAGCCTGATCTGCCACCACCTCACCCTCCACTGCAAAAGGATGCAAGCGGGACAACACTCCCGAGTTTGGCCTCTCAGGGACCACCAGTACCATTTCCTCTCCTAAAGCACAAAGACCAAATGGTCCCATGTACTGTCCTCTAACTCCAATTTCCTCCTTCCTCCTGACCGGGCACTTCTTCCACCAAACTGGTAGGACTGACTTCACCAGGCCTATCTGGCTGGTGCCTGTTTTCACTATGACCTAAGGTCCTGCAAAGTCCTCCCAGCATCTATTCTTGCATTTTATAAATGTTTTATGCTCCTATAAAGGGACTGGCCATCTTCTTGGAGGAGTTAATTCATGCACAGTGGCCTCCTAACAACACAGCCTAACTCTGAGACACCCTGGCAGCCAGACCGGACCACAACCCGCCCCATAGCAAGCAGCCAGCAGCTCTGGCCACACTCAGTCCATTGGCATGCACAGGTGTGCAGGTAGCACTGGCTCCAGTGACTGGAATGCATGCTCTCCATATTTGCTTTTACACTTCCTCAAAATGACTCTCACTCCGCAGCTTCCCAGGTTCCTAGTGGGGCACATTTGGGGCCACCTAAGACAACAGCCACCGTTCAGCCGTGCTCCCAGGTCCTCACAGCACTGGTGTATGCTGCTAACAGCAGCTTAATGAGAAAGACAGGTGCCATCAGCCAGCTGAGGGGCCTGGAACTCATCTTCCTTCCTTACAGGACTCAGGAGCCACACCTTTGAAGGCATAGAGCAGTTGGTTCCTTGTCTGCTGCCCACAGAAAACATGGCCACGGAGACAGATCCAAAATCTCCCCGTCCCAGCACAGCAGGAACGTGATAGGACCCGTTGGGTCCAGATGGCCCAGCAGCGAGCCCAACCTGAACAGGGGACATGGGAAAGGGAATTTCTGTAGACTTCTGCAAGGCATAGCATTTAACACGGTGGGGCTGGTGTGGCGGAGGTGCAGAGGACAGGAAGCTGGAGCTATGAGGGAGGAGCAAGGGTCACAGGTGGCAGGACTGGGGCTTGTTAGTGGGCCACAGAGAGGATGAGGGGAGGGGACTCAGGTTCCCTGGGTCCTGACGGACGAAAGTTTCTGTCACCTCAGAGGCAATGTATAGTTCCCAATTCTGTGTCATTAGCTGGGAAGCTCTGGGGATCTTCTGCATTCAGGCCTCCTCCTTACTTTTGTGTCTCTCGCCTTTGGATTCCCGGCACACTGGGAGACAATGGCCCAGTGGCACACGCTTCCATGAAGACAAGGTCTGTCTCTGCACTGTCCCACCTGTGCCACAGAGGAAGCTGGGCCCCTGGACAACTGAATTTCTTTTTTTTTTCCTTTTCTTTTTTTTATGCCAGTCCTGGGGCTTAAACTCAGGGCCTAGGCACTGCCCCTGAGCTTCTTTTGCCCAAGGCTAGCACTCCACCACTTCTGGCTTTTTCTGTGTATGTGGTACTGAGGAATGGAACCCAGGGCTTCATGCATGCTAGGCAAGCACTCTACACTAAGCCACATTCCCAGCCCTGGAGAACTGAATTTCTACTTTCCTCTGAACTTACTAGTTTAAACATAAACCGCTCCAGGTGACCATACTGAACAGCACAGTCTAGAGCGCAGAGTTACCTCCTAGAGGAAGGGTCAGGACATTTTTTTCCTGTAAAGGGCCAGGTAGTAAATACCATCTATGAGGTATCTGCTGGCACAGCAGTAAGGCAGCCAGAGATGCTGTGTGTTCCAACATTAACTTATAAAAGCAAATTGTGGTCCAGATTTGGTCCTCAGGCTGTAGTTTGGCAATGCCTGACAGAGTACAGACCAGTCCCCCTGCTCAGTGACCTTGCTTACTAAACCTTAATAAGGGCTGGCAGAGCAGAGTCTTTCGGCAGAGTTGTGGCTAGACATGTACAAGGCCCTGATTTCCAGTCCTACCACCATATACACACAAAAAAGGAGCAGCAGTACTATTCGCTTCATAGTACGGCTATAAGAATGAAATGACAAGACTGTATGTAACACACTTAGTGCAGTACCAGCACACAGGAGCAGTCAAAAAGTATATGTGAGCACTGGGGTGGAGCGCTTGCTTAGCAAGTACAAGAGTCCTGGGTTCAATTTCCAGTACTGCAAAAAGAAAAGCCTTTGTGGAATCAATGAATGTGGAATGACTTGTACTGTCCTATGCGCTGCTCCTCTGCTACAAAGCAGACACTATTATTCCCAGTGTATAGCTGAGGAGAACTCAGCTCGGAGACGTGAAGGGGCAATCAACTGCAAACAGAGGCAGAACTAGGGGAAGCAGGCCTAGAGCTCCAAGTCCCTGTTTCCATGTCCTGCTCTCTCCTCTTCTCAGCTTTTTCCACAGCAGCATTACCCAACTGTGCCCAACTGTCTGTACTCACTTGCGCTGCCCTGTAGCACAAAGGATTCCTTCAGTAAAAGAAGGCATTAAAGCCAGGTCCCTGTGGCTCATGCCCATAATCCTACATACACATGAGGCTGAGATCTAAGGATCGCGGTTCAAAGCCAGCCTGGGCAGGAAAGTCTATAATGACTGATCTCTAATGAACTACCAGAAAAACGGAAGTGGTGCTGTGGCTCAAAGTGGTAGAGTGCTAGCATGAGGGTAGGAGGGGTAGGGAGAAGGATGAGAGGAGAGGCCATTGAGAAACATTAGGTCAGGGGCTGGGAAGGTGGCTCAGTGGTAGAGTGCTTTTCTTCCATGCATGAGGCCCTGGGTTCGATTCCTCAGCACCATACAAGCAGAAAAAGCTGAAGTGGCTCTGTGGCTCAAGTGGTAGAGCAATAGCCTTGAGCTGAAGAGCTGAGGGACAGCACCCAGGCCCAGAGTTCAGGCCCCACGACCAACAACAACAAAAAAAAAAAAGACAAAGAAAGAAAGTAAGAAAGAAACATTAGGGGGCTGGGAAGGTAGCTCAGTGAAAGAGCGCTTGCCTTGTATGCTTGAGGCCCTAGGTTCGATTCCTCAGCACCACATAAGCAAAAAGAAAAAGCCGGAAGTGGCGCTGTGGCTCAAGTGGTAGAGTGCTAGCCTTGAGCTGAAGAGCTGAGGGACAGCACCCAGGCCAAGAGTTCAGACCCCATGACCGGACCCAAAAAAATTTAAAAAAAAAAAAAGAAAGAAACATTAGGTCAGCTGGGCACCAGTGGCTCACACCTGTAATCCTAGCTACTAAGGAGTCTGAGTTCTGAGGATCATGGTTCAAAGCCAGCCTGGGTAAGGAAAGTCCATGAGACTCTTATCTCCAACTACCTACCAGAAAACCAGAAGTGACACTGTGACTCAAGTGGTAGAGCACTTGCCTTGACCCGAAGAGCTCAGGGACAATGCCTAAGCCCAAAGTTCAAGCCCCATGACCAACAACAACAACAAAAAGAAAGATTAGGTAGACAGGGCTGGGAATGTAGCTTAAGTGGTAGAGTGCTTGCCTAGCATGCATGAGGCCCTGGGTTCAATTCCTCAGTACCACATAAACAGAAAAAGCTGGACGTGGTGCTGTGGCTCAAGTGGTCAAGTGCTAGCCTTGAGCAAAAGCAGCTCAGGGACAATGCCCAGGCCTTGAGTTCAAGCCCCAGCACTGGCAAAAAAAAAAAAAAAATACAAACACTGGCCAACAACTTCTTAAGATCTGTAGGATACCATGTTCCCAAGTTCTTGTCTGGATTCCATGTCACCAGCAGCCAGAGAACCCTCCCCAAGGGGACAACCCTCATACAGGATGGCACCCTCCAGAACTGTCTGGATTCACTTAACTTGAATTACCTCCAAGCTGGAAACCACTGCCTCCGCCTTTTGGTGCTGGGGCCACAGACAGACGCTTTTGTGGGTTTCTATTCTACATGAGCAGCCAGCTCCACCCTGAACGGAGGGCTTACCCCTTACTCTGCTCAGCACTGAGCCCCAGCTCCCAGTCAGGCAGAAAAAAACCCAGGTCTCCTCTTGCCTCTGCTCAGTCAGGTCTGCCAAGGTCAGACCCGAGAAGAGGACACACGGGAACTGCCCTCTTCTCCTCCATGGTGACGTCACAGCAAGGGGGCTAGGCCAAAACCTGAAAAGCCAAATAGGAGACAGGCCACAGTCTCCCAGGGAGTAATACCTGCACTCCAGCTCTCTTCCTGGCCCCAAACTGAGGCTGAGTGCTAGGCCCTCTGTCTCCACACGCCCCTGAAGCCTGGCCATGTCACTCACTGCCTGCTGAGCTGGACTTCCCCAGACCCCACCCTGGAAACTGGACAGGATCAGCTCCCAAGTGCAGAGGAAGGGCCAGGCCAGCCTCTGTACACCAGGTCAGGGCTGAGCAGGAAGGGAAGAGAACAGGCACCTGCTGGCTATGCTTTATGCAGAAGGAAGGGGGCTTTGCTGTCCCCCGACATGTCACATACCAGTGATTTCCTGAAGTCTGTTCTGCAACCCACAAGGACATGCCCAAACCTCACACGTGCTATTTAAAATAAAATAAAATAAACTTTTCGAAAGTGTGTGTGTTTCCCCCCCACACCCCCACCCAAGGCAAGTTACAACCCATTCATCTGTGGCCTACCACACACTCGGCAGCCTGGGCGTCTGACCCACAGTCTCAGCTCCTATTTCTGCCCATGTCACCCTTTCACTACCGGTTGTAGCTCACCTTTTGGCCAGTTCCAGCTCAGCCAGGCCCAATCTGTCTTTTCCTTTTCTTTCTGCTAGGTAAAGGCATTCTAGCATCCTGGGGAGCTCTGCAGACAAGGGAGACTCACTACACCCAACTTGAGACCATTTGCAGTTTACTTACGTATTTCCCTCCTCGGAAGTCAATGCTGATGAGCAAAAGCTACGGGCTTGGAAAGACACCCCGGAAAGCCAAGAGAGGCTGCTGGCTGCAGGCCTGCCTCCTCTCAGGTCCATACTTTCCTTCCTTCTCCTCCCGGCTCGAGTCACATGCCACACAGTTAACTGGGCCTGGAATCTGAACTGGCATCTGAGGGCGCCAAGGCTCCTGGGTGCTGGCCGCCAGCAGTCAGGTGACCCAGCGCCTGTGTCAGCAACGCCCCCACGTTCAAGAACACGCTGCAACAGAGCCCAAGGGGCGCCCAAGGCCCTTTCCAATCACACCAACATGGTTAGATGTGGGTTTTCCCCCACTTACAAGAGGAAAAAAAAAAGTAATCTGACAATGAATCAGACTGCTTCAACTCATGCCAGGCCCAAATGCTGTGTGTGTGTTGACTTCCTTAACCCCAGCGCAGGCGCAGATGCGCAAAGTGCCTGGAAAGCCCAGGTGCCCCACCAAACTATAACTGACTAAAACATACGGGACCCCGTCACTCTGGTCGTGCTGCTGGCATATCTCATACCTCTCCCAGATCACACAGTGGCCTCTAACTTGTCTGCACCTACCCTGCTCTGCACTGCCACTCCCTAATGCCAGGCCTTCAGTCCCGCTGGCATCAGCACACCACTGCACAAGTCCACTACTTTCCCTCCCGGCCCTTCAGAGTAAAGTCCTGACTCCTCCACCCTGTGCTGGACTGGCCCCCTGACCTTGATCAGTTTATCTCTCCTATCTATACTCCTCTCATAAGTAGCCAGAGGGGCTGAATACCTCCTGTGCTTTTGAATACACTGCTCTCCATTTCTGCTCACTCCCTCAATCTTAAGACTCAGGTCAGATGTCAACTCCTCCAGAAAGCCTTCCTGCCTTCTTCTTTTCATCTTATATACTTTCCTAGACTTTGTGCCAGTGTCTCTACTACATTTACTGCTCTGTGTCCAGTACTTCGTAATACCTTCGTAAAAACTACGGTGTGATGAGTCATAATGCAAGCCTGAGTCCTGTAAAACAGGGATTCAGTTTACTTATGTGTGAGTTCTCAGGGCCTAATGGACTGACACATAGTAGATATGTACTAGACACTGATGAAATGAACTGGGCCTGGAGACTTCCACCATGGAAGACATGTTCTCTGCCCTCCACAGAAACAGTGATGCACCTGATGAGGGTCAGAAGAGACACCTGGCTTGACCAGTGAGTTCCAATGAGTTCAGGCATGCCCTGGAGACCACAGGTAGGCCAAGTGCCTCTGCTGCCTCTCGAATCAGCCCTCAGTCACACAGCTTCACCACGGTGTGTGTCAAGACTAGCCAAGCACAACCACCTTGGGGTCCTTGAAGAGTGGACGAAGGTCCTCTAGTGGGCTGCCGCCTGCCAAAAAATGAATCCAACAAATGAAGTGGGTCTTTCCATGCCAAGGGGTCTGCACCCCAGCGCCCCACGGCCCAGAAGGAAACCGCACCTGTCAAGTCTGTCCACTCTGTCTGTCCCATGGGATGGTGAGCTGGGGGCTCATGGTATAACACTCACAAGACACAGGGGACAGAGGTGTCAGGATGGACGGTGGTGAACAGATGGGCCCATGGAGCACGGGAAAGTCCCTCCCCTAGTCGTTAGGTCAAGGGTTCCTTGCTCCTTAGATAAACTATGGTCACACAGGGGTGGGGGTGGGGGGGACTGGAAGTGTCTAGAATCACACCCTAGTTGGAACTGGGGGATTGTTCCAGCTGTAACTGCTCCACGGCACTAAGCGGACGCTGACCACTGGCAGTTGTCAGAGCCCCCCACACACACACCCCACTTGAGAAAGGGCGAATGAAAGCCATCAGCTAGGAAGACTGAAGAAAGTCTATCAGGTAGAAAATGGACCGACCCCTCAGCCTCAGTCCACATGAGGGTTCCACAGAATTCATTCACTAATGCTGTTGGGCAGGGCAGAGCCAGATTCTGAGACCACATCTTAACCTATACATGTATTTAATTTTCTATGAACCAGACTAAATCTCTTTTGGTAAACAGAGATTTTGTTTCCTGAAGAGAAAGCTTAAGAGATTTCATCAGTCTTAACTATTGTGAAAGGATAGGCTGCAAACTAAATTCTCACACGTACTGTCATCCCTTCCTCCTGAGAAAATGGAGGCCCTCTAAGAAAGGGAATGCTGAGTGTGCAGAGCCTGCCTTTCCCTTCTGACCCGTCCAGCTGAGCTCAGCCCAAGTGTCAGTTCCCTCTGCTCTATCCTGTGTCTTTCACCTATTGACAGCATGCCACTCATGTCCACTGGGCTCTAAATGGCCCCACCCGGGGTCACCCAGAGCCCTGGACACATGGGTTGAGTGTTATCAGCTTGGTCAGGTTCCAGATGAGCAAGATGAGGACAGCTGCTTGCTCAAAGATACCAGGTAAGCAAACAAAAGGCCTGGGATTTGAACCCAGAGATTCTCATGCTTGGGCAAGTGCAGTCTTTACTAGAAATGATCCAGACCTGGGTTTTACCCCCTCTTCCAGTCCAAATTCTTCCATGATACAATCAGTTCTCCAGGCACCTGTGAGAAGGCTGCTAGCATGCAGCCTGCCCTGGACTTCATGGCAAAAACCTCTGCCTGCTGGGCATCTATTTTCTCATATTCCCCCACACACATGGTACCTTGTCTTGTGGGCGGGGGGAGGGGGGGCTTATTACACAGGCTCTCTCACCTGACTGTCCTAAGGACACTGGAAATGGCCCAGCAAGGTACAAGTAGGCAGTGTGATCCCTCCCCCACCCCAGTCATCACCAGACCACAAGACAGATCTTGCAGGAGGGTATTTCCCAGGACCCAGCCCCAGGTGCCACAGCAGAGGGGATCTCCCCCGCATTCTGCCCTCTCTAGACTTCGAACCACAGAATCTGCTGCCGCTGCTTCCCAGGAGACAGGCCCCTTCTCCTCGCCTGGGCACAGAGGTAGCTGGCTGCAGAGGACATCATCTTTCCACCTCCAAACATGCAGAGAAACTGCTCCAGGGCAGTAGATGAAACACCCTCCACTCCCAGGCCCCTGGCCAACTTGAATGCCAGAGCAAGGGGAATTCCAGCCGCAGCCAGGCCTCTGGGGCTGGGCTTTGTCAGGCAAAGCACCTGATGCTTCGGTCAGGGGGCAGCCTAGGAGGGTGGCCTCTATGCGGGGAGTTAGACAGGGAAAATGCAGCACCGAGAACCCATACAAGCCCCCTCTTTCGTGCAGGGCTCCAGGACTCAAGGAGATCAAAGTCCTACCCAATAGGCCTGCCACACGGCTACCCAAGCCCCTCTGGAGGTGGCAGCATGGCCCCCAGGCAGCTGTCATCAGACAGCAACCATGGGATGGCATTTATCACTTGCAGCAGAAAGCCTGCGGCCTTTGTGCAGAGTGTGGTGGGAAGGATATGGGGCAAGGTCAAGTACCAACAACACTCTCCCTAGGCAGGACAGTTGATTCCTCCGAGTAGCAATGCCTTCAGCAACAAAATAAGTCTATATGGCTTGAGGCCAACCCAGGCAAAAAGTTAGAGACCCCATCTAAACACAAAAACTGAGTGTAGTGGCACATCCTTTTCATCATGCAGAATTACAGTACAGGGCAGAACCAGGGCAAAAAAGACCCAGGGCAATCATAAGGGTTTTTGTTCAAATCCCAGCACTACAAAAAGACTGACAGACAGAGGAGGGGAGGGGAGGGGAGGGGAGGGGGAGGGGCAGAGCAGGGCAAGGCAGGAAGGTCAAGAATGACTGAGCGTGTGTCCCTCGGCTAAAAGACTACAAGATGAATCAGTTCTCCTGCTAGGGGAGCAGACTGACCTGCAGACAGAACCAGGACCAAGTAGAGAATGCAGTATGCAGGGACTCAGGAGATGCAGGCCACCCCTCTGAGCACTGGCACGTAGCCTTGATTGAGTCCTATCATCCCTTGGGAGTCGGATCTCTGCTCTGGGGCTTTAATATCAGCAGGGCCCTGGCCAACTCTGTGAAATGTAATCTCAAGCATGTTTGTGGGAGGACGGTTCTGAGCGGCGAGTTCAGCCAGGTGGCCAGAGTTTGATGCTCATTTGCAAACCCCAATGAAAAAGTCTGGTCATGTGGGAAGACTCACCAAGATGGGTCCTGAACCCAAACCACACCTTCCTCCTCCCCCTCCTCTCACCAGGAGAGCCATGGGGAGAAGGGAACAGACAAGCTGGTGCAGAGGAGGTAGCTGCATGAGTACCCCCCATGCCCCTAGAAACACAGCCTGGGCAGCACCTGCCCTCTCCAATGGCAGAGAAGGTGGCTCAAGGCCATGCTGAGCAGACGGCAGTGCGGGTGCCCATGCTCTGGCCCAGCAGAAAAACACAGGACGTCTAGATGACGTCACAGCAGGCATCCCGCCCAGGACCGGGTACCTTTCAGGTCCTCCTTCAGTCAAGATGGCAACAATGGAAAATTCCACTCCTACATAGAAAGGCCCTAATCCCCTGCCAAGGAAAGCGAGGTACTATGGGGGCTGTTCGGCCCTCAGCCCTCAGTCCTGTATGGATAAAAGAATCAACTCAGGAACATTGAAAGTACCAGTGCTGGCCCTCCCTGTTCTGAGCTTGTGATGTAATAATGGTCTTAGATAACCCTGGGTGACAGAATTATTGTTAAACCTCTCCAGGTAATGTTAACGTGTAGCCAGGATTAAGATCCACTTATCTATCTTCCAGAAAGCCAGTTCTCCCCCAGAAACTCTTTAGGGATAGAAAGGAAAGAAGAGAGGGGCAGGCAGGCCTCGAAGGGCAGCCTGGCTCCCGCTACAGGAAAGCCCTGCAAACCACTAGCTTTCTGAGACAGAATATAGGGCCTCTGCCCAGCCCTGGCTGAGGGGCACCAAGTTTTCCCCCACTAAAAGCTGTACAATTGTGTTTAGCTATTTGATCACTCTGAGCATGTAAACAGAATGTGATATTGCACAAACCTGAGGTGGCAAGCACCCAACATAATTTACTTTCAGACAACAAGATTACAAATGTACACACACACACACACACACACACACACACACACACACACACACAATGCTGAGAACCCTCTCAACAATCTCGTGAATGAAAAATAGAACCTGAATAAATGGAGATGCTTCTAGCAAGCTGCCAGGTTTAGTTCCTGTTTCTCCCCAGAAGGTCACTGGGAATAATTATATTTTCTTGTGAATCTGTCTTTTGTAAGGATGAAGCAAAACAT